TGAACAAAAACCTTTTTTTTTTTTGTTTGAACCATGAGGTGGTCCTGGATGGGCCCCAACTATGGGTGTCACCTTTAAGCCTTAACCACAACCCAGACTAATCTCCACTCACACCGGGTCGGCTCATAAGGGGTAAAGTGTTGGCCAAAGTGGTGACTCCGTACGAGAGCAGGGATCGAACCCCTGACCTCTCTTAAGAACAAAAACCTTTAGCTGTAAAGAATTCCATGTAGTTTTGGGTTGGGTTATAGGTGGCATGCAATGAAAGAGTTTGGTTTCTTAAATAGTTTAGATTAGCTATCTGTGTATAGCTTCAACATTCAACTCACTTAATTTTTCTAAAAATTCTAGAAAATTATGTTAAAATCTTTTATCTTCTAATAAAATCGAGATCCTTTAGCTTCTAGTTTTACATTGATGGTTGTAGCAAAACAACACAAAGTGTGATAACGGTATAGCAATATGCTTTACTGGTATCTTTGAAAAAAATTCATGTGCTAAAAGCTCATTAAGCGAGACAATTTTCAGGGCAAATTAGTCATTTGAATTTAAAAAAAATAAATAAATAAAGCCAATTCCCACAATAATAAAATTCTTCTTTTTGGTTTGAACTTCAAGTGCGTAATTTGGAAGCTATTTGGCAGGTTTTTAAAACTATTAGGTGTATAAGATTATGATGATTTGGCAAAGTTTATTATGACTTGGGTTTGTTTGTTTATATATATCCTATTTATTTATTTTGGGTAAATTTCATTCTAATTCGTGGAATAGGAAAGAAAGCAAAGCCATGGCCTTGTCATGACTTGCTGATTTGGGCCTCAATGTGGAACCTGCCTTAGATTAGATGTGACTTTGGCAAAATACATACATTTAAAATTGAAAGGATAAAAACTAAAATTGTTATCATTAAAGTCAAAATACATTTCAACAGTACTAGTGCTGCTTGCTACAAGTAGAAGAAGAGTCCTCCTCCTCCACCTCCTCAGTCGGCGGCACGTAGTAGTCATGATGAGTGGCGATTTCTTCCCTCGTCGCATTCAAATGGTTTGTGATGAGATCAAGCCATTTCTTTATCGCATTCAATTCGCGTACCCTGAATTCAAGCCATTCCTTTGAAAAATTACAATCAGTGTGGCCCCAAAGTAGAAAATCTGACAGAATACATAGAACAAAAGTAACTTTTTGCCATTTATTCTATGCCATGTGAATAACTCATTACTATTCTTTCTTTTATTTATTTATCCTTACAAAAGAAAACCATTATTTCCTCCTACTTAACTACCCCATCACTAGCTAGCACATTATTTTGAATTTTTATTTATTTATTTATTTATTTTGTCATATTGGGAGGAAAGACAACCCATCCTAATCGCACCCACCCTGGAGTTTCGATCCTGGGTGCCATGGGGAAGCCACCGCCATTGTGATGGGAACCCATTGACAATTTCTATTTATTTTTTATTTCGTTGCCACTTGCTAAAATTATGTTTTTGGAATGAGGCAGAACATAATCTTGGATTCAAGTTCACATATATAAAAACTGAACGTAGTACCAAAGAAATATACTTAAATTTAAATATACAACTTATAAACCTTGTCAGCAGCCTAAATGTTATGTGGAGTTAGAAAGTCACTGAACAAAACTGAACATAGTGCCTGTGAAGGGGAAAGAAAGATACGTAACTAATGCATGTAGAACACAGGGAAGAAAAAGAGAAAAGCAGACTTAGAACAAGCAATCCAACATCAAATCCCACAAGGACATGGAAATAATAAATCCCTGCCAAAACAAAATAGCAATAACTATTACTTCGACACTTATGCCTAAAAACAACACATCTCCCCTCAGCTTATGCTACCATATAACCTGAATCCAAATGGCTCTACGAATTGTTTGAAGACATTTTTTGGTGGGGGTGGGTGGGAAAGAACACGAGTCAAAATGTAGAACACAATACATTTGGATATTAAAAGAAATACGGGTTAATTACACTTTAGTACCATATAATTACACCCTTAAGACATGTTAGTATCTACCTTCTCAATTTTTACAATAACATACCCTGGACTTTTAAATTTGTTACAATAACATACTAGATAGATTTGGGAGATTTAAAAATTAGAAAAGGGACAAGAATGTTGGCTGTTGCCAACCCAACAATAAGCAATTTCAAATCCTTTTGAGTGGTTGCAGAGACTTATACATGAAATGAACCATAATCACTAGAGAAAATGGCAATCATGTAGAGGAGATGGGCACAAAAATCATAATCAGTTAAGGATGAGATCATGAGACAATTTTCATTGTTCTCTCTTGAGTGTGTGTAAATAATGAGAAATATTTTCCTACTCCTGTCCATCCTGATTTTTTATTGTTCTGGATCTTTGCCTTTAATGACTACTATAGGCTTACCAAAACTTTTTGATAATTAAATTGATTGAAAAAGATTAACGTAGTGGAATAGGATTAGGAAGCTTCAATATGGTTGAACTCTTCAAATGAAACAAAAATGAATGAAAATGAGATATTTGTTGGATCTTGAAATAAAGAAAAAGAAGGCCAGGGTGAGCCCCAGGTAATTAAGACATGAATCCATTTCAGCTAATCTATTGGCCACCATATTGCATTCAAGATATACATGATGAACATAACAATCCCAACTTATGTCTATATAGTATTGGCTTCCCCACAACATAGCAGCAAGAGGATGTTAAAACACAACTGCACTACAACAACCAATATATAGGCCAAGAAATTTTGAGACCAGGATAGATGCCCCATAACTCAGCTTCTAAGACTTGTTTGACACCAAAATTAACAGCAAATCTTGTAATCCAACTACCCAGTCAGAGCTATCTCTTTGTACACCCCAGTAGCAATGCGCACATCCTCTCCTTTTCTGCACCCATTTGTGTTGATTTTAAATCACTCCTTCATTTGGGTATTGCCAAGAAAGAATGCAGTTAGGGAGGGAACCGGTGGATTTTCTAGAGTTCTCAGTATATACGTTTAATCTGCAGTAGCCATAAGAATAACGTATCTAGGGTTGGTAGGATTAATGTCCCTATTAATCCTTTGAAACTTAGTTGTTAAAATAATACAGGTAAATTCACATATTATTTAATAACAATACTATTAACATTAAAATACTTTATAATGATCAAAATTTTCACCATAAATTTTTTTAAAAAAAATTGTGAAATAATACACGTGTATATTTTATTGGTACTTTTTATGTTCCCTATTTTCACTAATTATGCTATGGAAGTAATTTCACCAATAGATTTATTATATCAAAATTTCTCTTTTGTTTTTGTTTTTCTAAATGTCACTGAGAGACGGTGCTAAAAATATGGACCGCAGAAACTCCCAAAAATCCACATGGTGGATTGGGCTTGTAAGAAAACAATCCGAATGGGCTGAGCAGTCGAAGCCGAAGCACACCTCCCTCCTACCTAGGCGGTATTGGATTTCCACATATGACCACCATCATAGCAAAGTGGAAGAAAGAAATCACTGGCACTCGGGTTCCTTACCATTATCAATTGGTACGTCAAGTTTGGAACATGAATTGAAGCTTGGCTGATTTTGTAAAAGCAACTGAGTATTTTTCATTCAACCTTAGACATGAAGATGGTGAGGAAATCTCCAACCAAAAAATAGCAGGGTTGCTTTGTTACAGATTTAGGGGAATACCTAATCATGATACGCTAGCTATAACACTAGCTCTGGTAGCTTTAAAACTGACTCGCAACTCACACAAGGCAAGATCTCAAGAAAACATCCCCAATTCTAATCCTAATGATTGGTTGTTTTGACATGAAATGAAGATGGAACTTTTGGTCGGTCACACAAGGAAAGATCTCAAGAAAACATCCCCAATTCTAATCCTAATGATTGGTTGTTTTGACATGAAATGAAGATGGAACTTTTGGTCGGTCACACAAGGAAAGATCTCAAGAAAACATCCCCAATTCTAATCCTAATGATTGGTTGTTTTGACATGAAATGAAGATGGAACTTTTGGTCGGTCACACAAGGAAAGATCTCAAGAAAACATCCCCAATTCTAATCCTAATGATTGGTTGTTTTGACATGAAATGAAGATGGAACTTTTGGTCGGTCACACAAGGAAAGATCTCAAGAAAACATCCCCAATTCTAATCCTAATGATTGGTTGTTTTGACATGAAATGAAGATGGAACTTTTGGTCGGTCACACAAGGAAAGATCTCAAGAAAACATCCCCAATTCTAATCCTAATGATTGGTTGTTTTGACATGAAATGAAGATGGAACTTTTGGTCGGTCACACAAGGAAAGATCTCAAGAAAACATCCCCAATTCTAATCCTAATGATTGGTTGTTTTGACATGAAATGAAGATGGAACTTTTGGTCGGTCAGTAGATTGGGTCTCATCAGAACTTGTTAATGATAGTCTTATTCATTCTCATATGGTAAAATGTACAAAGATTAAGGATTAGGCCTTTTTCATATCCAAAGCTCAACATCCTCTCTAACAGGCTTTTGATTTTGTTAAGTCACATCCGTTTAACTTCACAATAATTATCAAAAAGTGTTTGGTCAATGTGGTCAAATCCGTTAATTTTACCGCTAAATACACACTTTGCACCTTTTATTTGTCCTTTAAAAACATATAAACCTTTAAAAAATTGAATTTACTTCAAAATATTAAAACTTCATTAGAAGTAAAACATAACATTATTAGAAAAAGAAAAAAAAAAGCATGAACGGGAGGCGAGGGGATGCTCAGCGAGTCGAGAAATGGGAGCGGGTTGTTGGCAGGGGTTTTTTCTTCTTCCTCTTCTCGCTCCGAGTCTTTGTCTCTCTGGCTTTCCTAATTACCAGTTTTATTGTTCTTTTCATTATGCACAGATCAGAGATTACATTCATGTTATATACTTAGCGGACGGTCATGTCGTTGCTCTTCAGAAGCTTTTTACTGCAGAGAATATCGGTGATTGTTCTTATTTCTACCCTTTTAATTCTACTCTTGTGAGATTTAGGGTGGGGTGGATTGGATCTGGGATGGTGGTTGTGGATTGGGGAATCAGGGCCTTGAGGTGTGGTGGGGAAAGTGGCTGGGAGGTGGAGGTTGACAGGGTGGTGGGTTGTTGTTTGTTGGAGAGAAATGATTAGTGCAACGGATTCTGAATTCGAATTTCTAATTTGAAATGATTCTCAGGAGGAGGTTGCAAAAGAGTTTGGTATACCAGTGCAATTTCAGCGCTTCTGTATTTGGGCTAAGAGACAAAACCACACAATCAACCCAATCGACCGTTGACACTTCAGGAAGAACCACAATCAGTATGTACTTCAGGAAGAACCACAATAAAAATTCTGGAACATGAAGAGAGATCTCCCGAGTGGTGCCTTAGTTGGCAACGGAAAGTTCCTTAAGAAGCATAAGTGCTGAGTTCAACTCTTCCTAGTCCGTAAGTAAAAATATTGTGGAGAGATCTCCCGAGTGGTGCCTTAGTTGGCAACGGAAAGTTCCTTAAGAAGCATAAGTGCCGAGTTCAACTCTTCCTAGTCCGTAAGTAAAAATATTGTGGTTCTCATAATTGGGCCCAAACGATGGCATTCGGCAGGTAATCTGCCTGCCTCTTATATTTCTCACATATGGAATATCGCATCTGCATAGAAGAGAGTAACTGCTAGTTAATCGTAGTTGCTTAAATAGTTTCAAACTACCAGTCTTAGTAGGAATCCTACTCCTAGTAGGATTAGGTTTTCTTAATTATAAATACTCCTACTCCTAGAAGGATTAGGTTTTCT